TGCTGCTCTCTCTCTCTTCCCTCAGTCCTGCACATAGAAGACTGGCTCAGGCACCTACGATTAGTACTGCTACTTTCTCGCTGTGTCATTTGGGCAAGTTACACAACCTCTCTGAGCCTCAGTGCTTCACCCACAAAACAGGCATGATACTAGTGCCCCCTTGGTCAGTTTGCTGTGAGAAGTAAATGGGTTATGGCACACAAGGTGCTCAGCAGTAAGCACTCCATGAATGTTACCGTTACCCTGGGTAGTAATAACTCATTGTCTGCTAATCACAATTGAGGTGCTGGCAGGTTGCGAAGGTATGATTCCTTCCAGCAGTATTTGGAAATACTTAAATGAGGAATCTCTAAGAAACGTGAAGGCCCAGAGGAACAAAGTAGTCAAGGGTGAGTGCCCAGGGCTAAGGCTGATGTATGGGGGGCAGGAGGAGGGGCAGGCAGATGAAGGCTGGAGAACTTCAAAAGCACACCTACTTGCATCCCCCTCTCCCCTCCCGCCTGCTCGCCCTGCCTATCTCCTGGGGGCTGATAGGAGATAAATGAAATCACTTCTTCAAAGCACCCTACTCAAGGACCCGGATCAAACACCAGGGCTTGAAGATAAGCTTCAGTCTGCATTTCCTTTTGTCCATGCCTTCCCACCACATCTCCAAAGGAAATTCTAGAGGGAGGAAAAGTAGTTAATTCCTCCTCTTTTATCAAAAGGCGTTACCTCCCCATCCCAGGCAATGGCTGGTGATAGGAGAACCGGGGAGCCAGGGAGGGAGTTGGGAAGGCCTCTTCTCGGCCCTCTGCCAGCACGAGCTGTGTGACTTCAGACTCCCCCAGAAGTTCTCAGAGCCCGGTGCTTCATCTGTCAAGGGGGATAAAAACACCTGTCCAAAATAACTCACAAAATTGTTATGAGATGACGAGTACAAACATGTTTTTGGGAAAAGACACTCGATGCTTCCACAGTTAACATGTTGAAAATCACTCAGTCACCCACCTTGAATATTTTGGGGAATAAGGTGAGCTGAGATATAAATAAATAGCCCTTTATAGGTAAAACTAGAGGCCCAATGCACAAGATTTGTGCAAGAGTAGGCCTTCCTACCCCCCCCCCCCCCCCCGCCTCCCTCCCCACCTGCTGGAAGCAGCAAGCTTCCCTCCAGCATCCGGGTCCCAAGCTTCCTCCCCAGCCCCAGCTTCATCCAGAAGGTCGACCAGAAGGATGTCCAGGACATCTGGTCTAATTAGCATATTACACTTTTATTAATATAGATTATTATAGATTTTTATTCATTCACCAACATTCATTGGGCACTTATGGCATTCAGACTGCATGGCTTCTCATCTCAGCCCTACCTCTTACCGGCTGGGAATTTGGAAAAGTTAGTAAACCTCTTGGGACCTCCACTTCCACCTCTGTGAAATAGGGGTAATGACAGGACCTCCCTCCTCAGGCTCCTGGAAGGACTAAATGAGATAATGTGAGCAAAGTGCTTGCACCAATGCTTGTCTCTCAGCGATAGCTACTGTGATGATGATAGTTGAACACCCAGCAGGCCATCAGAACACAAAGAGCATGAGGACAATGCAGAAGCATTCACAGTCCAGCAGGAGAATGGACAAGTAAACAAAGACAGATGCCAGGTCACAGGCAGAGTAATAGAACGTAACAGAAACTGTGAGGCTGGCTGTTCTTGCTTTCACTGCATTGTTCCTCTTGCCCCCTGGCCCTCTCCTGTCCTGGCTGTGTCTGGAGCCTGGGGTGAGGCCTGCAGAGGAAGTGCCTCCCAGTGCCCTGAGCGCATTGCGCTATACCAGGGCTCCTGGCCAAGCCTGTAATTGCCAGCCGCTGAAAGATATTAAACGCCAGGGAGGAAAACCAAGTTCTCTACGAGACCAACTTTTCAGAGTTCTTACAGCTTGTAAAAAAAAAAAAAAAAATGTAAATAGTTACCCAGTGAGATATTATTTCATGTTGTTGCCATTAGGGTGTGAGTGTTATGCAGAGAGAGGCTATCGTTCAGGCAATTCCGCCTCAGGGAGGATGGGAAAACTCCACATTAACCCCACACAACAAATCTACCATTTCTCGCTCTCAACCTGACTCAAGCATTTTTTTCCCTGGGTGGTGAATTTTATGTAAATTGAAGTAGTGAAAAAAAATCTATAAATATGCAGAATTTCTTAAAGGATTTTTCCTGATGGCTTGGGGGGGGGCATTTTTTTAAAGATACATCAGGAGGCTGGGGGAAGGGAACTAATTTGGTGGCCTTCTGGGACAAGTTGGGCCTTCGGGCCCATGGGTTGCCAGTGCTGAGATCCTCCGGGTCCAGTTGCTGCCTTGACTGTTCTCTGGAGCAATTGCCCCTCAGAGGCAGGTGGCCCGTCACAGCCTTCATTGACCTGGGACTTTCTTTGCGCCGGGCGATGGTGCTGCTCACGCACAGGGCAATCTGAGGAAGGCCTGGAGGCCCCTTAACCACACATCTGCACTTCTGGCAAGGGAGAACATTGCCATGTGCCCTGCCCCCATGCAACGTTGTCTTGCATGGTCTTTTCAACCACAACCCCAGTGCAATTCTCTGCCCACAAGTGGCCTTCAATAAATTTGAACCAACTGAATACTGTCTTATTCTCTCCCCAGTGACAAGCCATGTCTTTGAAAACAGCCCTTGCTGTAAGCCATGAGGGCCCTATTTAAAACTCTGTGTAAGTTAGCATTTCAGCTAAGTGGGTGTCACACGCTGATTATAATAATTGTCTAGTCGTGTTTTAATTAGGCCTCTGGTCTGGCTTAGTACGGCTGTCCTTTTTCTCTCCTCGGGCAACTAGATGGATTCAGCCAAAGGAGCCCTGATGCCCTCACCAGCACCCAACAAAGAAGAGTGTCCCCACTACCTTGCTAGCACCTTCCAGGAAGGAGGCCTGTCTCTATCTCCATGCCATCTGGCACCCACTGTTCCCATCAGGTAGTTGTGTGTGGACTGAGGGAATGGTGTTTCTTCTTAAGGACGATTGATTCCCCTGGGTGAATTTCCAGCCCTCCACCCCCAGCCTGGCCCTCCTGTCCTCATCTCTTCCCTTCTCCCTCCCTTTCATTCATTCACTGCCCTTTTCCTCTCCAAACAGAGTAACTATTCTTTCATCCTCCATTCTTCTCCTCCTCTCTCCATCCTGCTGCCTCCTGTCCCTCTTTTCCTCCCAAAGTCCTAAATGCCTTTCCTCTCTCTAACTCCCTTCTGCTCCCAACCGATTGCCCATTAATCACTCTTAGCACACATATGCTTGGGTCCTGGAAGGATTTCTTGGCTGGCTCTCACAGCTGAGCTGGTAACAATAGTCAAGAAGGAGTCTTTCATCTTTTGCTGCCTCCTAGGTCTCCCCTCTTCCCAATTCTATCTCCTCCAAAGTGCCTACACTCTGTGAGGCTGTCTTCTGTCTCTCTCTGCACAGCACTCTCTTGGAGGCCAAACAGCCCTGAAGGTGGACCTTTAACTGAGGTGTTGGCACTGGCAGCAATGTCCGAATGCACAGAGGCTGGCATGGGAAGAGGCAGGAGGAGGGGGGTAGAGAACACCACAATAAAAGGGATCACACACACCCCTTCTTGTACCCCTCTTGCCACAATATGGTAGCATCCCTTGGAATTCCTTCTAACCCGACTTTACCAGGATTAGATTGGGGTAGGGAAAGCCCGTGGAATTCCTAAGAGGTGTCTATACATACTGCCCAAAAAACAGCACAGGTCCAGGAGTAGTTTTCATTTAGTGTTTGATTGAAATGGCCTTGGGAATGCAGGTGTCTGCTGTCCTCTTCGCTGAGCATGATAAAGGTTCATGGCTGCTATTTTTTTTTTTTTCTGTGATAGTTCTTTCTCTTCCCTTTTGAAATCACCTACCTTGGGTTCTCATGTTGTCTCAAGACACAGATCAATGCGGCAGAGTTAGGGACAGTTAGTCCTGGAGCAATATGCCCCGAGTGACAGGCCTGACAATCAGAGTGATGGATTGGGGCTGAGAAAGTGGTACTGGAAGCGAGGCAGTGACACCAGCGCGCCTCCGCTGGCCGCCTAGAGCAAAGAGAGGCGGTCTCCCCAGAGGCCAGCGCACAGAGGACTGGCTACACCCCCTGATGATCGGCGGACCGGGAACTTTAATGTCAAACTATGACTATGTAAAACCTCTGCCAAGTGCGAAGCTGGCAATGCACACTCCATCCAAAAGACGCGGGGAAGGGGAGAGGGAGAGGAGTGTATTGTTATTTTTTAGTATAAAGTTTTTATTCCGTCATTTCCCTGGGGAAAGGTAGTACATTTTCTCCGGTGAGAAGAAAAGGATTAGAGGAGTGGGGGGGAGGGGCATCTCTAGAGTTCGTATCGACGTGCAGCACTTAGAGAGATTCCCTACTTCCTCTGGGATGCTGGCCTCTCCGATGATCCCAGATCCTCCACCATCACCACCACCACCACCACCACCTCCCCCCAAAAAACAGCAGTTAGGGGCACTGCAGGGAGGGAATCTTCCGCCTCTGAACAGGAGGACACGATCAGAAACCTGAAACACTCAAACGCCGAGCCTATACATCAATGTGCAGGCACCGCGCGCCGGGCGGGTCCTGGCGGCGCGCACTGCCCGGGGTACCCCGGCTTCTCCGCAGCCAACTCCCCCCGGAAGGGAGTCCTCAGACTGGCAGGCTTCCGACAGGATGGGCTCAAAGTTGTTGGAACGGCTGACGTCGCATCCCGAGAACCAGGGATGCCTCTGAGTCTCGGGCGCTTCCGAGTGAACACACCCGGGGCGGGGGAGAAGCCAGTTCAGCGGAACAGAACTGGACCCGAGCGGCGCCCGAGCTGGGCCGGAACGGGGCTGGGGCTCCAGGGGCGGGGCGTGCCCCCGGGCAGCCTTCGGGAGCGGCTCAGACTGGGCAGAGAGGGAGCCTCCGCCTTGCGCTCCCTCCCTGCCCAGTCCGAGCGGTGAGGGCCCCGGCCAGCATCTCCGGCCCCGCCAGCACCTCCGCCCCGGCAGTTTGCAGGAAAAGAGGAGAAAGAGCCGCAGGACAGACGGCGGAGAACAGGGCGCAGAACCCGGGATCCCGGAGAAGTCTGGTCCTCGGCGGAACACCCCTCCTGCCCCCCGGGCGAGGGCGGCCGGGTTGGGGGGAGGGGAGGAGCACAGCGGCTGGTAAAGGCAGAGGCGGCGGCGGCGGAGGCGCAGGGGCGCGGCTCCTTTAAGGCTCTCCCCGCCCACCGGCGGCGCCGGCCCCCGCCCGCCGCTCTCCCCGCCCCGGGGCCCCGGCGAGGGCTGCGATTGGGCGGGCGCGGCGATCCCTTTGAAGTGTGGCTGCCGATCGCGGCTATTTGACGTGCGGCTCGCGGAAGGCGAAGGTTTTTGTGTTGCCATCCCGGTCTGGCGGCGGCGGCGGCGGCGGCGGCGGCGGCGGCGGTGGAGGAGGGGTGGAAGCGCGGCGACCGCTGCACCGCGCTCCAAGCTGCGGAGCGAGCCCACCCGCCCGGGAGCTCGCCTCCCGGTGCTCCCCCTCCCTCCCCGCCCCCCCCAGTGGCGCAGCCTCCTCCAAATGAGCGATTCGCCCGCTGGATCTAACCCAAGGACACCCGAAAGCAGCGGCAGCGGCAGCGGCGGCGGCGGGAAGAGGCCGGCGGTGCCGGCGGCGGTGTCCCTCTTACCCCCGGCGGACCCCCTGCGCCAAGCGAACCGGCTCCCGATCAGGGTCCTGAAGATGCTGAGCGCTCACACCGGCCACCTCCTGCACCCGGAGTACCTGCAGCCGCTGTCTTCCACCCCCGTCAGCCCCATTGAGGTCAGTGCCTGGGTCCCCGCCCGCCCTGCGCCGCCGTTCCCATGCCGCCCGCCACCGCCGGGCCCGCGGCCCCGCTCCCTGCACCCCTGTCCTCGGCGCGGCGCTCAGGTCCGGCCACCCTAGGAGGACCGGGTGCAGAGGGACCGAGAACGCAGGTGTATCAGAGCCCATGCGGTTCTCCCGGGCTTCTCCGTGAAAGGTTCCCCCCTTTCCATGCTCGCCCTTCGGAGGAAGCTACGGGTTTTCTCTCGGATTGGGTTTGCTCTTGGCGTTCCCACTTGGTCCTGTACTTTTTCGGGCACCCAGTTTCTAGGCCAGAGATGATCTTTCCTGGGTCTTTCCTGCCACCACCCGGGTTTGTGCTCTCAGAATCCCGGATCGCGCCCGTCCCACTCCGCCCTTGTCCCATCCGGTTAGAGCGCACGGCGCCCCGACACTCGCGATCCCCAGGCTTCCTTCCCCCCACGTCCCCGGTGCGCGCCCGGGAGAGGGGGGCTGCTCGGCGCTCCTGCGGCCGCCCAGGCTGGAGAATGCGCTTCTCCGGGTTTTTTCCGCGCCTCCTCCGCCCGGAAACCCGTCCCAAGCGAAGTTCCCCAAACTGAAGGAGGAAGTTTTCCCTGGGCTTCGAGGAGAGAGGGCTATCAGAAGGCAGGGGGCCAGTCACTGCCCCGACTACAGAGACGTCACCTTCGCCCACGGGGACCTTTGGGGGGGGCGCCTTTGATGGGCCCCTTCCACCGGCCCATTCCCCGGGGCCGGTGGGCGCCCGCGCTCTGGGGCCCAGTGGGGCCGGGGATCCCACCCGCGGGCGGCGAGCGGAGAGAGCGCAGCTCTGCCCAGCTGCGCCGCCCACCGGGCGCGCTCAGACTTCTCCCCAAGGCCTTCTCTCCCCCCCCAACCCCCGCCCGTGCCCACCGGCTCCCTAGGCGCTCCCACTTGCTACCCTGCTGGTTCCGTCGGTCCGGTAGCCTCACTCACCCCTTCTCCCTCCTCTCGCCGCTGTCCCCCGCAGCTGGACGCCAAGAAGAGCCCGCTGGCGCTGCTGGCCCAGACCTGCTCGCAGATCGGCAAGCCGGACCCGCCGCCCTCGTCCAAGCTCAACGCGGTGGCGGCGGCGGCCAACGGGCTGGGGGCGGAGAAGGACCCGGGCCGCTCCGCCCCGGGCGCCGCCGCCGCCTCGGCGTCCGCGGTGCTCAAGCAGCTGGGGGACTCCCCCGCGGAGGACAAGTCCAGCTTCAAGCCCTACTCCAAGGGCTCCTCCGGCGGCGACTCCCGCAAAGACGGCGGCTCCTCCTCCGTGTCCTCCACCTCCTCCTCCTCGTCGTCCTCCTCCTCGCTGTCCCCGGGAGACAAGGCAGGCTTCAGGGTGCCCGGCGCCGCCTGCACGCCCTACCCCCCGCACGGAGCGCCCGTCTCCGCGTCTTCGTCTTCCTCATCGCCCGGCGGCTCCCGGGGCGGCTCCCCGCACCACTCCGACTGCAAGAACGGCAATGGCGGCAGCAGCGGGGAGCTGGACAGGAAGGACCTGGAGCCCAAGCCCAGCCCGGAGGCCGTGTCCGTGAGCCGCGGGAGCGGCGGGGAGCCGGGCGGTGGCGGTGCCGCCGACGGAGGGGCCTCCTCCGGGCGCAAGTCGGAGCCGCCGTCGGCGGCGCTGGTCGGGGCCGGCCACGTGGCCCCGGTGTCGCCCTACAAACCCGGCCACTCGGTGTTCCCGCTGCCGCCGTCCAGCATCGGCTACCACGGCTCCATCGTGGGCGCCTACGCCGGCTACCCGTCCCAGTTCGTGCCTGGCCTGGATCCCAGCAAGTCGGGCCTCGTGGGAGGCCAGCTGTCGGGGAGCCTGGGCCTGCCGCCGGGCAAGCCCCCCAGCTCGAGCCCGCTCACCGGGGCGTCCCCGCCCTCCTTCCTGCAGGGATTATGCCGCGACCCCTACTGCCTGGGCGGCTACCACAGCGCCTCGCACCTCAGCGGCGGCGGGGGCTCCAGCTGCTCCACCTGCAGCGCACACGACCCATCGGGGCCCGGCCTGAAGGCGGGCGGCTACCCGCTGGTGTACCCCGGGCACCCGCTGCAGCCCGCCGCGCTCTCATCCAGCGCCGCCGCCGCCCAGGCCGCGCTGCCGGGCCACCCCCTCTACACCTACGGCTTCATGCTGCAGAACGAGCCGCTGCCGCACAGCTGCAACTGGGTGGCGGCCAGCGGGCCGTGCGACAAGCGCTTCGCCACCTCGGAGGAGCTGCTGAGCCACCTGCGGACTCACACGGCCCTGCCCGGGGCCGAGAAACTTCTGGCCGCTGCCGCCTACCCCGGGGCCTCGGGCCTGGGCAGCGCCGCCGCCGCTGCAGCCGCCGCGGCCGCCGCTGCCTCCTGCCACCTGCACCTCCCCCCGCCCTCCGCCCCCGGCAGCCCCGGGTCGCTGTCCCTGCGGAGTCCACACACTTTGGGGCTAAGCCGGTACCACCCCTACGGCAAGAGCCACTTGTCCACAGCCGGGGGGCTGGCCATGCCGTCCCTCCCCACAGCCGGACCCTACTACTCGCCATACGCGCTGTACGGACAGAGACTAGCCTCCGCCTCGGCGCTCGGATACCAGTAACTACAGCTCTTCCTCTCCCACCACCCCCCCCACCCCCAGCTCCAGCTCCCTGACCCTCCCCCCAGCCTCCTGGCCTGGCCGCTGCAACCTCCACTACTGCTTGTCCTGCCAGATTACCCGCCGAGACCCCCCCCCCCCCTCCACCGGACTGTGTATTTATTTACTATAATGTTAGCTTACAAGCTGGGAATATAAGTGCATTAACGGCCCACACGAGTCCATGGTATGCAAAAAGTCTGTGTTCTCCCCCCCCCCCAAATAATATTAATCACACGAGTAACTTACATGCTCTTTCCGTCCCACTTCCTTTATTTTTTTTTCTTTTTCTTAGATATGTTTTAATTTGCTTTTCTTTTCTTTTTCTTTTTTTTTTTTTTTTTTGGTTTGGTCTTTGGGGAAGAGGGGGAGAGTTGGGATTCTGGGGTTCTTTGTTTTGTTCTCCCTTCCTGGGGAGTTTTGTGCATGCTTCTTTAACCGTTAAAACGACATTTCCCCCTTTTCCCTTCATTCCCTCATTTTCTTGCATTTGAGGTTCTGTTTTTACCTTTGTACAAGTAACAGAGAGGAGATATTTTTTGTAATGTGTGTGGAGGGGGTGGGGGTGGGGGCCTTCCTGGCAGGAGGTCTTGCCTCTGTGGACCCAGAACTCTACTCTGCGACTTCTCACCTGACCTCCCCTCCTAGGGCCCCTGGTCTTTGCCCTGGCCCCCAAAACTGGGGCCTTTCTTCCCTACCTTGCTCTGAGTATGGAGAGCCCTGAGAGAGGGGCCCGAGTGGCCTCGGACAGAGCCTCCTACTTCCAAACTCTTCCAGCCCCAAACACTGCCCGCTGGGGAGGGAGGAGGGAGGGGGATGGTCCTATAGGGCTCATCTTATTCAATTAAAAGTCCTAGAAGGCCCTGCCGGCATGAAACTTTGCTTTTTATATTTTGCAAAGTGCTTTTATAGTCGTCGTTTTTCCCTCCATTCTCTCCTGGCGGTGGGGGGTGGCGTCAGCGAGCCTTGCTAGATCCCTCCAAAGCAGACCAGTGGCATTATCAGTGGGCAGTACAACCTTTTAGCTCCGTGGGGGAGGGGGGAAGATTGTACAGTAAGGGAGCATACAGATCGCCATGGCCCCCTTCACCCCTTCCCAGGCTTGTCCCAACAGATTCCCCAAAGTTGGGGACTTCCTTGGGCTCCCTCAGTGACTGGGATGGAAGACTTGGGCCCTGGGTCTTCTCCCCACACCGCTCCTTCTCTTATGCAGCATCGTGGGGAGGCTGGGGGCCTCTCTGGGATGAATAGAGCTCTCCCTTGGTAAGACTTATTTTGTTAATAAATGAAATACTTGGCTATATTCACACCGTGGTGTGTTTCTCTCTTGCCTCACCCACCACCTCACCTCCAGATACCTAAGCCGACGGCCTTCTTTTATTCTTGCTTTAAAATACCTTACGGTTTCCTTCTCAGATTTTTGGTCAAGGACAAATTTAGTGTCTTTCCTTGAGAAAAGGGGGGGGGGGGGAGGGAGGAATACTGCCAGCGCATTACAAATTTCATAAAACCACCTTTATTTTTCCCCCCACTTGGTTATTTACCTCCCAGCCTGACTTCAAAGGCCTTAACATTTCCTGGGGATAGGGTGGAGAAGTGTGTACTTGTGGATTTTCCTCTGGACCTAGATTCGAGGTAGAGGGGCTGTGTGAGGGAACCAGCACCAAGGGCTCCGGCCAGGCAAACAGGGTCCCAGGCCTACGGGTGAGCAAAGACGGCGTGCCTCTGGCGCCACCTGGTGGCAGGCAACGCCTGGCGCCTGCCCCGACGGCGCACCGTAGGCGCTTCCCACTCTAAAAGGCAAGGTTTTCCTGGTTCCTGACGATGCCTTCCTACACCTGAAACCAAAGGGTGAATGCACTTGCTGGCGGGGGGCGCTTCGCAAGGCTGGGAGGCTCCCTAAGGCCAGCGCCCGGGGCGTTCATCCCCGTTATCTGCGCTCCCAGAGACTCCTCCACGGGGTTCGGGAGAAGTCCAGGCGATGACACGGGACCTTGGAATCACTCTGGGTCCCTGTTTTCTTGATCTCGCACGACTGGACACTGACTTCATCCTCGGGCAGGCGCGGCGGGAGGTGGGGGTGGGGGGGTGCTGTTGATCAGGAGGGTGGGAGGAGGGTGGGGCTCCTCCCACAGCGCGGGCGATTCCTGCGGCCCGAGGAGAGAATGCGCGGCTGTGGTGGGGAAGGCGAGGCCTGAGCCACGTCCTCTCTGGGGCTCACTGGCTCCCGGGGTCCGAGCCGGGAACTCCCGCCGAGGCAGCCCCGCGCAGGTTGCAGGTTGCATGTTGCAGGTTGCAGGTTCCAGCTGTCGGATCCCTGGCGCCCAGCACGGCCGTCCCACCTGTTGGATGCACTTCACCTTGGCCTTCCTCGCCCCCTCCTGGCCGCACTCCTCTGCGTCGCGTCTACACCAGGCAGCTCTGGATCTGTTGTTTGCTGTGGTGTTGTTTTGCTTTGCTTTGCTTTGCTTTGCTTTGCTTTGCTTTGCTTTGCTTTGCTTTGCTTTTCCTGAGGAATGAGATGTATTGGGCAGTTCGTGCTCCACAAACTGTGTGCTTCTGAAGCATCGGTAGGCCCGAGGTCAAGTGCGGAAGGGGTGGGAGGGATGCTAGAGAATGGCAGCGCGGGCCTTGGTGAGGGCGCCATCCCCTCTGCACTTGGCAGAACCTCGGTGCAAGATGTTTTTATGGGGTTTGGGGGGAGGTTGCACCTGTATCTTTGTTTCTTGGGAAAAAATTCCTCCATTAGTCAAGAGAACCTCAGCCTTCTTCTGCAGGAACTGTGGGTGCTGGGCACCCTAAGAACCTAAGCGTGTCCCTGGAAAAGGACCAGGGCTGCTGGCCTCAGGGAAATGCTGACTGGGCTGGAGAAGTCACTGCCCACCAGCTCGGACTCCTCCTGGGGAATCGCTGTTAACCGGAGTTCAAGTTGGCCTGAACCTGTAAGAGACCTGAAGTGTAGTGTGTGACTTGCTTTAGTTTTCCTTTTTCTCTGTTTTGTTTGCTGTTGGTGGTTTCCCACCTTCCTTCTCTCTCAAGTCCTCCCTCTTCCTTTCAGCGCCTTTTTTTTTTTTTTTTTTTGTCCTTAAATGCGTTTTTATTGACTTCAGAGAGAGGAAGGGAGAGGGAGAGGGAGATTGAAACATCAATGATGAGAATCACTGATCGGCTGCCTCCTGCACGCCCCCTACTGGGGATAGAGCATGTGCCCTGACAGGGGAATCAAACTGCGACCTCCTGGTTCATGGGTGATGCTCAACCACTGGGCCACACCATCCGGCTCCTCCAGTATCTTCTAAATTCCTGTTAAAACTGCTGGAAGTTGTTCTCTCTGCAAGGGGGGGATGGGGGATTAAACTTTCTCTTCCTTAAACTTTGTGGTCCTCAGACCTCCCTACCTAAGGACCATCTGCCTCCTCTTGTTGGGACCAAGGATTGGGGGGAACTTCCTTCCATAAGAAAGAAAACTCGGTATCTCCAATAGCAAACATTCCATAGAGCAGACGCAGCTTTTCTGTGGCTGCATGGCTGGCAGTGAGTGAGGTTTGAGAATGCAAGTTAGGCACTCCTTAGACCAGAAAGGTTGCCCCACATTCCACTGGGACCACAAAGGGTAGGCATTGTTGTCCGGAGTGTCCCTGTTCTCACCCTGACACGGGTGGCATTCCTAACAAATGTGGCTGTTTTAATTTGCTGGCGGGGTGTTTGTTACTGCAAGTAGCTGAATTCTCATTAAACAAAGTTGCTGTTTTCATAGAGATAATATTCCCCACCATTTAATTTACATAATTCATTCATCCAGCAACTCTTCTTTGAGAACCACCTCCACCTTCTGGTCCTAGCCATCCTCCCCTCCCTCCTCTTCATCTCTCCCAGGCCCCAGAAGTGGAGCCACAGAGCTGGAACCTGAGACGCTGGATGTTCCTGGCTCTGGGTCACATTTTCACACCTCTTGCCTAGTTATTTTTGTGGCCTCGTGGGCAGCTGTGGGAGGAAGGGAGGAGAAAGACGGGAAAGACTCACCCGCAGATACAGGTTTGACACAAAAAGAATTTCGTGATTGTTCGTTTTTCACTTCACAATCGTCGCCCCCCCCCCACACACACACACACACAAACCCACCTCCTAAGAAATCTGTGGCCCAAGTGGGAGGGAGGGGCCCCTCACCACCTTCAGGCCATAACGGCCTGGTCCTATGCAGCAGCCTGTGATGCGTCTCTCAATATCTGAACTAACTCCTCTCCTGATGTATGTCTGGGTTACCATGCCCCTCGTCTGAAAATAGTCCTTTGGCTCTGGGCTTTATTAATCATTCTGTAGGGGAAGCTGCACTCCAGTTTCCTGTTTGATTTGATTTCATTCATCCTGTCTTTTTGTAGAATAGATGGTTGAGTGCATCTGATAATGTATGGTTTAATTTGGCGCACTATGGGTTTGAATTACCATTTTCATAATGTGCTGTGCATTAATGTGTTACATCATTTATAAAGAGGAATGTGCTGGGTTTCAAACTTTCTCCTGAAAGCCAAAGTCACCCTAAAAGAAACAAAGCCAAACCACACCGACCCATCTTCTTACCTCACTACCATCCCCCACCCCGACCCCCTCCCTTACCCCCACCCCTAGCCCCATCCCATGAAACCTGCCAAGGCTCATAAAACCCAACATGAGGCTTTTGTGCTCACATAATGCAGGTGGGTGTCAAGGTTTGGGGGGAACTTGCACATGGCTGCCCAGGAGCCATCAATGGCAGCACAAAGCTCGCCCTCATTATTACATAACAACAGCTTTGCCGCCAGCCCCCTTCGCAGGGACCTCCAGTGGACGGCTCTCCCTCAACCCTAATCCCAGCACTCCCTCCCCAATAGCTGTAATAACACCAGCTGTCTGTTACTCAAACTCTGACTGAGGAGGAAAAAGCACTGATTATCCAAATACAGTCATTAAAGGGGAAATGTGTTTTTAGGACTGTCAGAGTGATTAATGAGGGCTAGCCGTCTTTGCAAATGCACTTGTTTAGTCTAACTGGCAGCTTCTATTTTCCTATTGATTTATTGCAGCCGTTGCTGGGGCCTTGGTGTGTGCGAAGTCAGGGCACTTCACAACTGCGCCCTGTTTAAACAGGAAAAGCATGCACCATTTTGTCCGGGAGGGAGGAAGGGAGGGAGCAGCCCAAAGTCTCTGCCTTCGGTTCAGTCTCCGGGGGCCAGACCAACAAAGAAGACATTAAAAACCTGCGGCCCAGAGAGGGAAGGAAACCGCCTCCCCTGGGTCGTCCCCAGTCACTCAGTTCCAAGGTCAGTGGAGACTGCACCATGGCGCCTGGACAAAGCCTGCCCTATTGTCACACTCAGCGTGCCCCCATTTTCGCCCCAAGCCCCCGTACCACCTGTCAGCCGCTGAGTCCAAGCATAGGAAAGGCACCCAGCAGAGGGGAGGAGGTGGGAGAGGGGACTCGTGGGGCAGAGCCAGGCAAAAATAGAAAACCGAAGCAACCCCCCTGGTCCCGGGGTGGGAACAAGGTCAGGGGCTTCGCAGGAAATTGATTGAGCCCAGTGGGTGACTTCAACTTTTAGAAAGAGGTGGGCGGGGCTAGGGGGGGGAGGAGACTACAAAGAGGGATAGCTACTTCTTTCCACTTGTACGGTCCATGTTTTGACAAATGATGTATCTAATGACCAAAATGGAGAAATGGCAGCTTGGAAACAGAGCCCCAGATTTGGGATTGCAGTCCGGGCAGTCAATCATCACAGCAAACAGAATGTAAGAATTCCCATTATGTGCCCTGCACAATGCTGGCTGCCATGAGTCAGGGAAAAAAAACTCAGACCAAACTCCTGCCTATTTTTCTTGGGGGAGACGAGACATACCCATGAGCCAGGGAGTAAGAGAGCATTCTCTATAAGTGCATGTATGCTGATTTGATAAAGTGCTAAATCCGTGTGTGTGGACCATGGAGAACAGGACAGGTTATATCTAATAAGGTGCCACTTGTGCAGATCAGAGGGTCCGGCTGAAGGAGCTGGAGGGGGAGGGGGCTAACATCCTAGGGCTGATGTTGGGGACCTTCCCCTGGGAGCTCCAGTCCGTTGGGAGGCTCCCCGGTTCCTCCCAGGCTGGAAAGATGGATGAGGCCTTCATTCCACAGCGGTGAGAGGGCTGGAACTCGGAGCCCCTGAGCCGTGCTTTTCATTTCTCAAGCAGATCAAGGCGCAGGCTTCCCTAATGTTGTAAACAACACATCTGAATGTTCTTCACCCGCCCTCTCCAGGCAGCTGCACCTTCCACAGAGCGTTCCAGGCATGGA